ACAATGATGTATGCACTTTATTATTATAAAAATGTACATTTTAATGTATGCTCTTGGCTGACAGATCAAAACCAACTCAAGAAGCAACTCCTTCGAAAACACACAAAATAAAACTTACCTGGAGGCCATCTACCCTCCTATGACACCTCTGCTGATGTTCAAGTTGCTTACAATAAAGTCACCCTACTATACCCAGACACCAAACTATTATATGGCTTCCCTGAATCCATAGAAGAAAAGATTTTACGGCAGAAAAATCAAGCATGTTCACACAAAACCAGAATGCACTAAGTATCTGGAATTTATTTGATGCACAAACAAATCTCCTCTGGAGTGGGGTTATATAAGCCATCTGGATGATGTAAAAACACATTTTTTTCCCTTGCTTATGTAGACAGAGTACTCTCAATTATCATGTATGGCTAATCCTTCCCACAATCACTTTTTCCACTCTAATTTAGTCTCTCTGTCATATAAGATGCTTTGAAGCTTCCACTTATTGCTATTCATTTGTAACAGTCAGGGCATGCAAACTAATTTTAATATTAGCCCAAGGAACTATTTGGGGGAAGAGATAAATCCACTGCAAGATCAATCAAGTATTCCAAAGCCAAAAAAAAAAAAAAAAAAAAATTGAGGACTGGTTCCTGTTTTCAATTTTATCATCCACGGCTTGTTTCCATTAATGCAAATAATTAAGAAATGACCAAGGTTTTGGGAACAGAGTTACTGCTAAATGTTCCTGACTTGGCACCACTGTGAATTTCTGAGATAGCTGAATCTCATCTCATCAAGCACTTTAATTTATCCTAAATTGTGAATGGACAAAAATCAGACCTATGGTTTTAGAACAGAGGAAGGAGGACCAGTTTAGAGTCTGTACTCAGCTCATGGGGAAAATGATTCAGGGTCAATATTATAAAGAGAATTATAACAGAATCCTAAGAATTTGAAGGGACCCATGAGATCTGTGGTATCACACACACTGTGGGCTTCTCAGAGGCATGGAGATGCTCAATTTTTAAATAAAGATCCTAGACTACTAGGCTCTTTAGTAAGGTTTTAAGATTTCTGGATCTTCTTTTATTGTTGTTTGTGCTCTCTCTTGGTGCCTATGTACTCCTGCCCTAATACCTTATGTGCTGAGAAACCATATCCTCATGTTTATTATAGCTATTTCTAAATTAAGAAAGAGCAAAGAGACTGGATAAGTATCCTAGAAACTCTCTCATGAGCAAAGTGTGTGAATTTCACAGCACAGATTTTATAACACCTATTCTGACTCTGAGAAGACATTTTGGCTTATATTTTCTTGGCTGTGTTCCCAATATCTGGATACATGACTTCTAGAAAAATGAGGTCTTAATGCATTTATGGGAGCCTTTCTCCTATTATAGCTTGGAAAAGTAATGTTTTACATCTTATGTATACTTGGCTATAATTTTCCCTCAGTATAATTTTACTTTCCACACTGCCCCATAATTAGAACATATTTTATTAAAAAGGGAATAATTAATTTGATTCCAGAAAAAATATCCTTTCTCCCTGATTAAGACCAAAGAGGTAAACATGGTCAAGTTATTAGGAACACAGTCTCAGGAATTACTGCCTTCTGGAACATTAAAACCCGAATTTATTATCTGTTGACTTTCATATGTTTCCTGAGTGTTGTCACCTGAGAAGTTAAGCTCTGGAAAACAAATACTTCTCTTTCAAGTTTATAGATATTCTATCAAAATGGCACAAGTTTCTCTGTGGCTTTTGTGAGACAAGCAAGGGAATTCCTAGAAAACGAGGCCAAGGCGGCATAATGACAGTTCTGTTTGGGGAGTAGGAGTGTTGGAGCCAAGGCAAAAAAAAATTAAGGACACATTATGATTGTGGAAGAAAAATATTCGGAGGTCTATCCAATTCCACTATTAAAAACGTGAAAAAAGGGCTGGGGATGTGGCTCAAGCGGTAGCGTGCTCGCCTGACATGTGTGCGGCCCGGGTTCGATCCTCAGCACCACATACAAAGATGTTGTGTCCGCCAAAAATTAAAAAAAAATAAATATTAAAATTTAAAAAAAAAAAAAAAAAAAAAAAAAAAAACGTGAAAAAAAATGGCAGTTGCATTTCAAGACCAATCTGTCCATCACTAACAGCTATAGGAAATGACATTAAGAGGAGAAATACCAGCCACCCTTGATTTTCTCACCTCCTTGTCCTCCCACTCCATGTGCCTCCTGAATTGCCGACTCTGGGAAGTACACACCACCCCCTTTTTCCACTCCAGCTCCTAGGCTGATGAAAGTTACTGACACAAGTAGGTGGCCAAGGAAAGATGGTGGAATGAGATGGACGTCATTACCCTAAGTGCATGTATGAAGACACGAATGATGTGAATATACTTTGTGTACAACTAGAGATGTGAAAAATTGTGCTCTATATGTGTAATATGAATTGTAATGCATTCTGCTGTCATATATAACAAATTAGAATAAAAGGTCAAAAAAAAAAAAAAAAAGTATGTGGCCCGTCTGAACTGCATGAATGCTTATTTCCCAAACCCCTTGTGGCTTAATTTTTATCTGACCTCTTCCATCACTTCTGCTCCAGAAAAATAAATCTTCCCTTTCCCTTTAGCCCTTCTATCTATGCCCTTGACCTTATTTTTCTCCTTCCAGCCTCAGGGCCATGCTTCTCCAATTAATTTCTCCTCTTTTACTATTTTCAATTATTCCTTTTCCATGGATCCTTCTCTCATAAATAGGAATATTTTGTTTTATCCTTAAAGCAAACAAAAACAAGAAAAAAGGAACAAACACCATTCTCCCTCCAATCTTACTTCCTGAAGCTGCCATCAGCTCTTTTTCTTACAACAACCAAATGTTTTTATTTCCCTTAATGTTTTTCTTCCTGACAGATTTGTTGAAGGTAAATCTACTCTTCCAGCTCACCTACACACTCCACATGCCCTTGGTGAATCTGTCTTACTGGACTAGTTCTCTGAAGGACTATTAATCACCTCCGAGGAGTCAGACCTCCTTGGCCTATTTTCAGGCTTTACCCTATTTGATGTTTCCACAATTAATATTCAGCACTGTTGGTGACCCTCTTTCTAGAAATTTCCTACTGTTTATTCTCTAATGTTGAGTTCCCCTGGTTTTCTTCACTTTCACCTTTTTCTCAGATGCTGATTCTTTCTTCCCCCATATATGTGTGTGTTCTCAAAGATCTGTGCTTAGTTTTCCTAATCTATATAACTCATCTACTCTATGGCTCCAAGGTTGGACTTTGATACTATCTTAGTTTCTCTGGATTCTTTAATCCAGTCCTTGTTCTACTATTCCAGTGAATGACCTCCAAGTTGAGTGATCCAATATCAGGCCTCATTTTGACTTCTTAGAAGATTTAAATACTGTTGATTCTTCTGCTCCCTTCTTTCTCCTTCCTCATCACAACCACTCACTCTCTAGTTTCCTATAATCTTTCTGCATCTTCTTTGTGTCCCATGCACGCTCTTCCTCCTTTACTCAACCATTAAACATCAAGAGTTTCTTCAAGGCCCTTTGTGTATTTACATCCAGATTCTACTGCATAGATATATGGAAGACTCACAAATGTTCACCTCTAACCCATACTTCTTTTGAGCTCCAGAAAAAAACACACACATACAAACACCGCCCCCACCAAAAAAACCTGCCTATTTAGATTTCTTGCTGGATATTCCAAGAGAATCTCAAACTCAGTACACTGAAAACAAACTTACAATTTCTTTTAAATCTGGTCCTCTAGCAACCCTTCCTGAGTAAGACCCTCAATCAAGAGGTCATGGTTGACACCCTTCTCTCTTTAACCCCAGTATCAATCCATTAACAACATCCAGTCTATTTTACCCCCTAAATATCTCCCAAAGTTGTCTATTCCTCTTCCTTACCACTATTTTGATCCAGATGAATAAGAATTCATCTAATATACAGGGAAATATGCATATTAATAATGTTATCTTTAAAAATATTTTTTTTAAAATAAAAGATTTAAAATACTAACAAAATAATGACAGATTTCCAAAGGTCTTAGTTTACCTGGAATATAGTCATGAATTCAGAAATAAGGAAAACAAATAAAAAGCCTTCTTCACAGTGAGAGAAACTGTGATTACAGGGCTACTACCACATCCCTAGAACTGCTAACAATTTCTAATCCACTCTGATGGGTGTTGGCCATAACTAAGGAATCTGTATTATTTACAAAATTAAGGTCACAGATTTCACACATCTGAACATCAGGTTCCACACTGGCATGGAAACAAATGGCTTCTGAGGGTATCACTGTTTCACTGTTCACTACCCAACTGGAGCTAATGATAATTACCCAATTTTATAAGAACACGTTTTGCTTGGCAAAGTCTTTTTATGTCACGGATATTTATAAAATTTTAAAAAGGTTTACATGAACAAAAGTTAAAAAAAAAACCTTAAGTTTCTGCTAATCATGGTGAATGACTTCATTTTTGGACAAAGGTGGATAAAAAATGAAGTGTTGTTTCACATTATCAGTAAAAATTGGCACTACGTCTGCAGGAGATAGATGCAGCATTCATAAATTTCCTCTGAAGAATTAGAGATGAGGATCCAAATATAACAGTATAAATCAGTTCACACTGTGGTCTGTACGGCCAAAAATTAAGCAGTAAAAGTGTTTAATTCTAAATCTAAACAGACTACTTCAAATTTAAAAAAAGAAATCTATACCCTGGAGCATTGTTTTAATACCACGCTTCAGTGATATAACATGACTCTGCTTTTTAATAGCTTAAATCAAGATCATTAGACTTATGACAGATGGGTCAGAGGAAGGTAAATGCAGTCAGTAAGTCAATGCTAAAAAAATCATCCGAAAGCATTAAAATATTGACTGCTGGGTCAAATCAATCACAAACACCCAGTGAAGCCCAGGAGGGTCTGAGCCATTTTCTGAAATAAGAGTGTATCTCCAGTTTTGTTGTGACGGTACCTGCAGTGGGGGAGTTCGCATGGTGAGACTTCTTGGGCAGGTTGAAGATCTGTTCACCAGGGTCAGGGGGAGGAATTGCATCTTGCCCTTGTCGTGCCTCCACAGGATCGTACTCCTTCCCATCGTAGTTAGCATCGTAGAATTTCTTAAACCACTGAATAAAATCCAGGTTGTCCTGGAAACGTCCTTTCACTAGCTTCTCCACTGGGATTACCTGCAATATAGAATCACTGTGAGCCAGGAAGCTCAGGTTTGTTGGTAATCAGTCCAACTGAAGTGTTCCTCAAATGCAACCATTTCCTATTTGCCTGCAATTCATGACCACTGATCTCTCTCCCCCGCCCCAGCTTCTCAGCAAGCTGTATTCTAGAATTAACATAAAGCTCATCATTTTAAAGAACTTATTGAAAACAACAGCTGGTTCTCGTGAAATACTTAATACTTCTGAACAAAGCAGACAAAAGAGGGACAGTCAAGAGGGGCTGATGTCTCTTATAGGATATTTAATGTCAAAGCATCTCCCCTAAAAACATAGGCCTGGGATGTTGTGCTGTCAAGATTGATGAGCTTTCCCATTTCTTTGTAACATTTGGCCCAATTGTGTTGGGATAAATTCTTATGAGGATTATAGTCAGTAGAGCATGCAAATTAATAAGATTCAAGTCAATAAAAATGGACACCAATCTAAAGGTTCATATGAAACAAAATGAGTTTTCTCAGAGCTCATTTACAAGGTAGAAAGAGACTAGTATGAAAATAGTTAACCACAATACAAGGCCTGGTAGTGCACAGGCTACCCAGGAGCATAGCTAATGTGCCTTGGGAGTCTGAGGGAAAAGTGATGGAGGTTGATTAATGGGGTCACGGAAGGAGGAGGTGCATAGCACTCACATGGGCAGGAAGGTCAGTTTTTCATGGGGTAACCTTTCCTACTGCAACCTAAAGAGTCAACAGTACTCCCCACTGAGGGCCCTATAGGAACCTTTGGAATCATAACAAGGAAAACACGAAGTTTACTGCTTAGCTCTGCTTCAGTGGGCCACTATTTTTGAGCAAAAATGGAAAGGTACCAAGTTCTCCAAACTGTGCCATCAATAGATTTTACTTTCTATATCTCCAGGTGGTAATGCTAGGTGAGGGCGACCCACAAGAAAGTGACAAGGTATGAGTTAGATATTGTGTGTGTGTGTGTGGGGGGGGGCACAGATAATCAAGTGATTCAGGAAGAAACCCAGTCAAAAAAAACATGGCTTCATTGTGTGACAATACAAATGGAAGCTGTACAAATTAAACCTTCAGAAAGGCTTTGCCACCTCAGAACTATATACCACCAACATTCTAAAAAAAAAAAAAAAAAAGGTAGTGATTAGGCAGAGGATTCCTAGTTCAAGACCAGCCTTAGTAACTCAGTGAGACCTTGTCTCAAAAAATAAAAAGGCTAAAGGTGTAGCTCAGTGGTAGGGCACCTGCCTGGAGTTTTCAAAGCCCTAGGTGCATCCACAGCAATGCAAAGGGAAGGGGGAAGCAAAAAGACCTTAAACATAATGACAACTAAAAGAAAAAAGCAATAAGCATTTTAGGTTACCCTCTAGACAAAATCATTAGTAATAAATTTTTCAAAAAAAAAATTTATGCAGCTAAAATTGAAACTAAGCCCAATGCAGAAAGATGAAAGAGAAGCAAACTTTCAGCTCCTGGTACCACAGATTTTGGTGCCAATTTGTTCTCTTCTCACTTCTCTTTAACAAGGTTCTACGCATGACAGTTTGATGAATTTTTACCTTTTATTTATGTATGAGTTTCAAAGTTTTGTTCATGGGAATATGGATTATTATAAAGAGACTTCTTACAGCATAAGGTCTTTAGTTAAACACCCTACTCTACTTTGTTGCCAGACATGTGCAAATTTATAGTTTTATGTGATGGTGGTATATTAGTGGTTAAAAGAAGGCCCTTAATTCTATTGACTTCAGTTTGCATTTTCTGCCAAAATGAAAAGTTTCAGGGGCATAAGTTCAAAATCTGAGGTTGTAAACAAAACTTTGCTCAGCACCTTCTGATATACTGTTGCACTGTGACAGGCATAACAGGGGTACATAATACCGACCCTCATAGGACTTTTTTTTTTTTATCAAATTATGACATGTTAAAGCTAGAAAGTCTAACAAAGTCCATCAATTCCAGTCTTCTTCTACTGTAAGAATTTTTCTAGGACATTCTTAACAATTTCTCATCCATTCTCTGCAAACTTCTAGAGAGATATGGGCCCACTATTTGATATATAGCAGGTTCCACCAATAAACCTTGGATGGATATTTTGTTTTTTTTTTTTTTTTTCATTGACTGTAGCAGCATAGCTTAAAAAAATTAATGAAGATCACATAAGTGGCATTGTTAACTTATTTAAGTAAAGAGAACCTATATAGCTTTGGTTTTAAATATCTTTGGAAATAACTAATTGGAAATTAACCACAGCAAAGGATATAAAGTAGGTTGAAAATACTCCAAAAGGTTAAAATGTTACAGAGTGTATATTTTGAAATAAAAATTATGAGAAAACAAGAAGCCATTTTTTTAACATTTTGATTAAGAATGCTTTTTTACTTAGAAAGAGATTAATTATATTTAATTAAATATATAGTTCAAACTTTTTAAAGTTCTCTCTTATGATTCAGTTATTTTATTTTTATTGCCATAGCTTATTTATTATTACTATTTATGCAAAGAAAAGTTTTCCATTTCTCCCATGTTGGTTAATCTCCATTCCCTTTTTCAAAATTCATTTTTTCTAAGCTTAACCATCCTAAGAGATATACCCTAAATACAGAACATGAATTAAATATGTTTTGAATAACAGTAAACATACAGAAAAAGAGCATTTTAGCAATAGTCCCTTATTGAGGAAAACAGTACTCAGTATCTTTGTGTATCATTTTAGGAATAAATTATAATTCAAAGGGGGGAAAAGGAAAATTTATGGACACTGAGAATCTGAGGGCATATACTCTGCTGAACACTTTTTGCATGCATTCTCTTATTTTAACTATAAATATGGGTGTGAGGTTTCTAGTTCCATTTTATAGATGGGTAAAATCAGGCTGAAAGAATTTAAATAATTTGCTCAAGTCATGGAGCTGAGATTCAAACCCATGGTATTCCCACTGTAACTTGTTTTTCCAAAGGAATAAGATGCACAACCACAGAAACACCTGGCAAACAAAAACATAAGCTTATAACAACAATTTTAACATCTGTGGTTCCTGTGAGAGTTTTTAGTCCAATGGTTACAAGGTTACACAAGCTTTTGAAATTAAAACCTCACACAAACATACAAAGTTGGACTGATGCTTTACACTATGCATAGATCCCAACTTGTCAAGGTAGCAAGACATATATCCTATTGATGAGTTCTCAGATTTTTGTTCTTTCTCGTCAAAAACAACATTAAGGAAAAGACAGTGTATTTTACAGAGGTACAAGTGAGTCTCCTACCTTATCGACATTCATTCGCTTAAATGATGCTTGCAGAAGTTTAAAATTGTGAATATACTCATGCTCCAACTTCGCTTGAAATTTTACTTTCTTCAAACTAATGCAGCCTGGAAAAAGCATATCCATGAACTGGCAATAGGCTGCTCCTAGAAAGAGACAAGAAAAGTATATAAGTGAGACTGGCTGTACCCAGATGTGACAAAGGATTGGTAAGCAAGAAAATGAACATGCTTGTAGGTAACATCATTCAAAGCAGAGCCCACATGGCCATGTGTGTCCTTCTAATCACTACACTTACACTTCTCTGTCCACAGAGACTAGGTGCTAGGGGGACAGGATTTTGCCTCAGTGATGAAGAGCCTGCCACTTCCCCATTCCTCACCCTGTGTGCTACACTGCATGTACCAGAGCATCCGGGGCCCAAGACCAAGGGGGAGAACCTCATACACTGAAGTCAAGGGGAAGCCAGGCTAAGAGTAACTCCTCCTAGCTTCCACCAGGGAAAAGGAACATACTCCTCCCCCCCCTTTTGGATACTACCTAATCGATGTCATCAAAAAAGAGGAAAAAGAACAGAAAATACTACAAAAGTTTTACAAAATGCATAGCTCAAAAATACACATATGCTGAAGTTGTTCTATAGCCATATTGCAAAATAACAGGGATGAAAAATGCATCACTAAGCCATTGAATGCCCCAAACAGTTGTATACCAATCAACAGGGTGCCCATATTAACATGAAAGATGAAGACAGGAGTACCTTGAGACTTACAGAAATTCAGAGTCATGCTGTTTATGACTGAGAAATAAACATGACAGAAATGTTCAATGAGTCCCCTGACAAAATAGTCATAGGAAAAGTTTTTTTTTTTAATATGAAGAACTCTTAGAACACGAGTCTCAGTTAGAAAATACCAGAAAGAGCATGTTTACTTGTACATCTCTTCTTAATAGCAAAAGACTAACGGCATTTAGCTAAAGAAATTCAAAGTCAGAATGATTTTTTTTTTCTTTTGCAAGAAAGAAAAGCAATTGAATGGCAAGACTTTGAACAAGTGGCCATTTTAAAAAATATATTTCGGTTGTGGATGGACACAATACTTTTATTTTTATGTGGTGCTGTGGATTGAACCCAGTGCCTCCTGCGTGGTAGGCAAGTGCTCTACCACTGAGCTACAACCCCAGCCCCTCAAGTAGCCATTTTTAAGTTCATTCTTTCTTTGCTATCTCCAGATCTCTTGGTCTGTTTCAATAATGTGCAACTGACAGACTTTCTGGAACATGAATGGCCTCCCTTATCCTTTAACAACATCAAGGCTTCTGAAAGGATACTCCCTTGTATGTGAGTGATTTGCCTTCAGATGGCAAAGACCCACTCTGTCTCTCCTGCCAAACAGATGTAGAGCATCCTTTACTGAGACAGGAATCCCAGATAAGTGGGAACAAGACCACAATCTAGGGTTGTAGAACAGGAAATGTTGGGCAACTTGTATTTTGTAGGAAAAAGCATAAAGGGATGAAATGCAGGCCATAATCAAATCTCCAGAGTGCCTGCATCTGGCTCTCCACAGATGCCAACACCCTGAATACCAACGAGTCAGTTTCCTGTCAAGCAGGTGGGTTCTCTTAGAAACAGAATATAACAAACCAAACCCCAAAACATTGGAGGTAGAAAAAGAAACATCATGACATGGGGACCATTCCTACAGTTATTATCCAATTATTCGGTCTGCCTTCTAAAGTACCACCAGATGGAACAAATTCCAACAGCCACTTTAACTTTACATAGGTGGGAATGTTGAACTAACTGCCTTTACCCGCTCTGTAAGTTATTTTCACTTTTATAGTGTTTAGCATAGGATTTACCGATGGAGACCCAGATATTCTATATTCTCACAAACCAACCAACCAAATCACTGATCTTTCAAATTTAAAAAGAAAATCCAGATTATAGAAAAAATAATCAATATAGAGAGGGAAGGAAGAAAAAAAATCAATTTTAAGATGACCATCCAAGAGATACACTGGATGGTGTATCTAATCATTGGGCAGAGGTTATTTTTTTTTAAATGTGATAATACTTTAGAATGTAATCATGTATCATTTTTATGTACATTTTTAACTATACAAATCATGATTCCCTTTCTGGGTCATTGAATATTCTCTATCAATATTTTTTAATGGCTTTCTGATATTTATATCATGCATAGCAACTGTCCCAAACCACGATTATATAAATATTCATATGCAGTTTAAGTACTTTTATGATCTTAAGTTCTACATTTAAATTCTGAATCCATGTGAAATATTTTGGTCTATGATATAAAGTATGATTCTAATTTTAGTCATCCCAAATGTTAGTGGAAATCTGTCACTTTTGGCTCCCCTGCATTTGGGCACTTTCCTACCTGGGGAGATGTCCCACAGAAGCTGAAAATGGGCAGGCCTCCCTTTCCTGATCCAGCAATAAGGACACAGGCCCATGACCAGGGCTCTGCCTTGGATGTTTCTGCCTAGGTCTCTTGTGGAAGGAGTGATAGAAATACACAGAGACAAACAGAACTACTCATGGTGGCAGTGGTATGTCTAGAGTCCTGAGCAGGGACAGCAGAATAGGGACATGCTAACCATCCTATTCCTGTGGCACAAAGAAGGCTGCATTCCCAGCTCCTTAGCATCCTTTGCTTCCCTCATCTTCTGGGCCTGGCTTTCCACTGACTCTGAGCTACCCAATCTCTCTTCTGCTTAATCTGATCATGATTAATTTCTGCTATTTCAACCCAAATGCCAACTGATAAAACCAGGTAGGTGTTAACCACCATCATTTTTAAAAACATTTTATTTATTTATTTATTTACTTACTTATTTTTATGTGGTGCTGAGGATTGAACCCAGTGCCTCACACATGTGAGGCAAGCACTCTGCCACTGAGCCACAATCCCAGCCCAACCACCATCATATAAAGGTAATATCCACTTTCCTCACTGGTGAGGAGCACTATCCATCCATACTGTACTATACATTACTTTAAAAAATGTTCTAATTAGTTATACATAATAGCAGGATACATTTTGATTCATTATACACAAATGCAGCACAATTTTTCATTTCTCTAGCTGTACACAATGTAGAATCACACCACATGTTCATCTCATTACACCATCTTTCCTGCCCTCATATCCCTTCCCCTTTCCTTCCTCCTTTTTACCCAATCAAAGTTCTTCCATTCTCCCCATGGCCCTCTCCTCCCCCCCCACCCCATTATGGATCAACATCCACTTATCAGAGAGAACATTTGGCATTTGTTTTTTAGGATTGACTTACTTTGCTTAGCATGATATTCTCCAACTCCATCCATTTACCTTCAAATGCCATAATTTTATTCTCTTTTAATGCTGAGCAATATTCCATTGTGTATATATGCCACAGTTTCTTTATCCATTGATCTGTTGAAGGGCATCTTGGGTTGGTTCCATAGCTTAGCTATTGTGAATTGAACTGTTATAAACATTGATGTGGCTCTGTATGTATTACTTTCCTAATACGTGAGACTGGAACTTTTTCTTGACTGTTTTTTGGTATGTTCCTGTGATAGCTCTAAACTCTTATTTAAATTCTATATGTTGTATTACTATCTGTAGTATAAATTTCTCCTCTTTCTCAAGGCTTTCTTAAATTTCATCATACATTTATTCTTTCCATTGTAATCTTTAATTTGTTATCCATGGCACACAGAAAATAATAGTTTTTTAAACACATAAGTAATTTGCTTGCTATTTAATAACGGCTTTACTGAAATCCATAAACTGTGAAGTTCAAGCTTTAAAAGTATACAATTCAGTGAATTTTAATATATTCAATGACTTGTACATCCATTACTCACTGTCTAATTCTAGAAGCTTTTCATTACCACTAAAAGAAACTTCATGCCCATTAGCAGCCTCTCTATATTCTCTCCTTCCCTTCTGCCCTGGCAATCACTAATCTCTTTCCTGTCTCTACACATTTGCGTATTCTACAGATTTCATATAAATGGAATAATATGTGGACATTGTATTTGCTTTCTTTCACTCAGGAAAGAAAACAGAGTTTATGAATGTTGTGGCATGAAGAGAAATTTCTTTTTATAGTTGAATAATAATAATGCATAAATGATTCCATTACATAAATATCCCAGAATTTATTGATCTATTCATCAGTGGATGGATATCTGGGTAGCTTTCACTTTTGGACTATTTTAAGTAATGCTATTATGAACGTTCATGTATAAATTCTTGGTGGAATTTGTAGGTATATCTCAGCCATATACCTAGAAGTGGGTACTGCTGGGTCATATGATACCTCTGTACTAAACATTTTGAAGAACTGCCAAACTGTTTCCTAAAGCAGGTGTACTATTTTATTTTCCAACCAGCAATGTATGAGAACTTCAATTTTTCCACAGCTGTGACATCTGTTATTTTTATTCTAGCGATCCTAGCGGATATGAAGTGGTATTTCACTGTTGTTGTAGATTGATTTCCTTAATGAGTAATGATACTGAGTATCTTTTACATGTGCTTTTTTGGCCAAGTGTGTAACTTCTTTGGAGAAATGTCTGTGCAAATTCTTTGCCCATGTTTAAATTGAATTGCCTTTTTATTATTGAGTTATAAAAATTCTTTTTATAGTCTAGATATCTTCTCAATATATGATTCACAGATATTCATTCTCTCCTGTGGATTCACTTTCTTGATAGTATCCTTTGAGGACCAAGATAATTTTGAATAAATCCAATCCAATTTGCCTAATCTTTTCTTTTATCACTTGTGCTTTGTTTTTTTTGTTTGCTTGTTTGTTTTTTTTGGTGGTGCTGGGGATCAAACCCAGGGCCTTGTGCATGTGAGGCAAGCACTCTACCACTGAGCTATATCCCCAGCCCTCACTTGTACTTTTATTGTCATATCTAAGAAATTGATTTCTTAAAAAATGATTTTTTTTAAATTGATTTTTTAAAAAATAATTGAGAATGGAATGCATTACAATTCTTATTATACTTATACAGCATAATTTTTCATGTCTCTGGTTGTATATAAAGTATGTTGACACCAATTCGTGTCTTCATACATGTACTTTGTAAACCATTCTTTTTTTTAGAGAGAGAGAG